ATAAGCAATGGTTCAAGTGTAGGAGAGTTTGATGACACCAAAACATATCATATATTTTAATCTATTTAGGTTTGTTTTCTCATCATTTATTTCCATTTCTAGTATTATATTGGTGTTTTTCCTTTGTTTCAGGAAATTGATTAATCAGGTGATGTGTGCGAAGAAACGAAGCAAAATGGAAGAAAACGAAAATTTGAAGCAAGTATGCACCTATGGATACCCCCATGGATTTCGTCCTAGGGCTTGCACGGGTAGTCCACGCGCTCATAAGTAGGATGACCAAGTCATGCCCACTTGTGAGCATGGCAGTTGTCGTGAGGGTGTGGTGGTCGCCACCTTTACAAAGCCCAAACAATTCGAAATGACCCATGCTTAGTCTCCAAGTCACCCCAAGTTTTTCTTACATTTTCTCCATAACCCAAGACTAGCTTCTGATGGATTTTTAGGGTTTTAGACTCTTATAAATACCCCCTTCACTTCACCATTCCATTTAATCCAAGCTTATGCATACTTAACTCATATACTATCAATTTGTAAAGCAATAATCTCTTCACATCGGAGGATTATTTGACCTTCAATTGAGTTTGTATCAAGTTTGGAGCACTCATGTACATGTTTTATTTCAAGCACTTTATTTCTGTCGTTTACATTCTATCAAATATTTACTTCGAGTTATTGCAGTTGTATCAGATTCAAGACTTCATTTGGAGCGGGTTTTTAATTCATTTAGCATTTACTTTATTTGTCTTACCTTTACTTTCATGCCTTATTTACTTGCTTTAATTCTCTTCATCTATTTATCTGTCATTATGTTTACCTTTGCACTTTAAATCGTTTATGTTTTGTCTTCCCTAAACATGTCCGACTAATTTACTAAGTACTGAGATGCGAGGATCGTCAATAGGTGATTCTATACATGTTGACTCTTTAGGATCACTTTTGTGGGATGTTTTGATTTAAACGCAATTTTTGTGAACGTATTTTGAATCTGCTTACACGAAAGCGAAGCAGTGAAAGCGTCGGGTAAGATCAAAAGTTGTCCGACACTAAAGACTAAAATTGGTTTGTTTTTGGTTAAGAAATACCACAAGAGCACTTTGTTAGTTAATTAGGAAGATTTTATATTTCTAGAAGGAGTTTTTAAAACTATTTGCGGACGCGTTTGTAAGGTTAGGATCTTGTTGCTTGAGCGAAAGCCAGGAACCCTTTTAAGTCAAACTTTCCAATCAAAATTACTTTTCGACTTAGTTAAGAGTTTAATTTCTTAAAAATAGGTTAACTATTCTAACGTGATAAGCACCTTCCATAAGTTACACTGGCAGACATAAATTAGAGAGTAAAATCGGTTTTGAATACGCGACAGCAACAATTCCCATTAAATTGATTCTTTTCAAAGTAGGAAATATTACCCCATAAGTAATCTTAGTATAAACAATCAGAGTATTATTGATTGATGTGAATTACATTTCAGAATTGTTATTCATCTTTTTTTATCAAAAATTTATTTATTTTGTTCCTTTTCCACTATTATTCTTAATCGCCTTAGATAAGAACTATAACGTCTAGAAACAATAGATTTGACTATTGGTCTCTGTGGATCAATATCTTTTTAAAACTACACGGTAGGATGTACACTTTTAGTTAGATTTTACACTCATAAATAATCGATCAATTTCCAGTTCGAAAATTGGGAAAACTGGATTATGGAGTGGAGATAATCGATTTTGTGAAAAGGGGTAATCGATTTCAATCAGTTAGGTCATCATTTTTGTAAAACTTCAAAAATTCATAACTTGAGCTTCGGGTATTCGTTTGACGCGTCGTTTGAATCTGTGGATAGCTAATACAGTGTACTTTCTTGTAAAAATAGTTTCAAGTTTCTAGACTAAAAATTAATTTGTGTTTAATTAGGTTTTGTGGTGTCAGTGTATGATGTGGTATGATGTCGGTGTTTGTATTTTCTAAAAACTTTATAAATTCATATCTTTACCTGTGAGTGTCCTATTGACGCACCGTTAGAATCATTGGAAAGCTGGTTTAGTGTACTTTAACTTAAAATTATTTTCTATACAGGAATTCCAATTTTTCAACATGTGAACATACGTTTCGTGTGTAATGAGTTATGTTGTTTTGTGGAACGTGTGCAAATGCATTATGATTGTTTGCGATATTGTTGGTTTGTTATTGTTGTATGTTTTGGCAGGTGTTTGGTGCATGGTGGCTAGTAGTGGAGATGTACATTGACTATCTGTAAGGTTTCTTATTAAGAATCAATTTTTATATTTGGCATTAATTTTGGTAAAACTAACTTGGCAGCAACATGTTGAATAAGATATCCCAACATGAAGTCTCGACATCTTGTATGTTGCAGTTTTGCATATTGGATTTATTTGGTTAATTAATGATTACTGAATATTATTAGAATATTAAGTAATCATATGTGGCATCCAAGATTGAGGAACAAGACATTATGCTTAAGTTTAAAGTAATTTTGTTTTTCTAAATGTTGAGAGATTTTAGGAAACTTTTGATTGAAGACTACTTTTATGCAGAAGATTATGCAGACTTTTAGCAGCTGCATTGCTGCGTTTTTGAAGCCCAAATCCAGTCCAGACAATGGTTATATATAGAAGGCCATAAACCTAATTAAAGTGTGGAACACATTGTGTTGTTAAGTTATCTTTTAATGTTTGTGTGTGCATGTGTGTTGTGAGGCTCTTTAATATCATCTTGATATAAGAGAAGGTCTGTCTCTATTGAATTGTAAGTTCTGTTAATGATTCTTAAGCTTTTAAGTATTGAGTGATTGTGTGTCTTTGAAGTGTGGCTTCTGAAAAGTTTTAAAGTACTATTGTTTCATCACTGATGTAATTTAAAGGGAAGTGAGAAGGGTTTTATTCCTAGGTGAGTCTTAGGTAGAAGTTAAGCACGGGTAGTGATTTGTTCGTATATGATAAACTGGAGATAGTTTTCTGAAGGTCTACAAACCGATACTATTTAGTATATTTCCTCCCTGGCTTGCTAGCTCCCAGGCGTAGGTGTTATTGTACACCGAACATGGTTAACAACTTCGTGTGTTCTATTTATTTCAGTATTTTTAACTGTGTTTATATTGTCATTGTGTTTTAATCAGATATTAGTGTCTCGATATCTCTTAAGACATCTGATATCTGTATACCAGAATTTCAGTCTTTATGTGTGTTGTTGTGTTGTATATATAATATGTCGCATGCATTCATAGTGTTGAGCGGAGGTCCGTATTTAGTGAGCCTCAATCCTATTATACAGATTGGGTGTAAGTAGTTAATTCCTATGATGATAGATTAATAAAGCGTTACATTGGTAACGATTTTGGATGGAAGTCTGTTTGGAGATGTTCGATCCTAGGTGGGGATCGGAGCGGTGAACTTGAGAGTTCAAATCTTGGTACAACATGCATTGAGTCTATCTCGTTGAGTCTCATTGTATCGCATTGGTGTGTTGTTATCGTTTTGTAGTTGTGGAATATATTGTTAGAATGCATGGTGTGCTTGTAATAATATGTTGCCCACTTGTTATTATGCATTCCATTATATAATTATGATATCTCATCCTTATTGTTTGAATGTTTCCTCTACGTGGGTAATGTGCATATACTCAAGAGTAGTTCACTGTTGAAGTGAGTGGAAGATGAAGTCTTCCTTTTATTTTTGTTAGATTCGGCATTTGTTCTGATGTGTAACACCGTGGAACAAAACATTTATGTTATTTATGTTTGTGAGAGATTATTTAGTATTGCTAGAATTGTCATAACTATGTTTATTTTCTTTCGAAGCACAATTATGCTTTAAAATTATCAAACTATTATGTGTTGATTGTTTTTCGTTGCTTAATCAAAAGTTGGAGTTTCAGACATGTTATGTTGTTATAATTATTTTTAATAATTTATGAAATAGTATGTGTTACATATCTAATTGTATGACCAGGTTTTTATTGCATTATGTGACATCCTAAATGTTACGTATTAATATTACTCTGATAATTATGATAAAATACGTGGTGAATATTTAAGGGGTTACATGATCTCTTGGTTCTCAAAGAAGCAATATATTGTGGCGCAATCTTCAGTTAAGGCTAAGTATTTAGCAGCTAGTTTGACTACACAGTAATCACTTTGGTTGAGAAGAATTTTAGAAGACATTATAGAGAAGCAAGAGGAAATTCTATAGCTTCATTGTGACAATAAATCAACTATTGCCATGACAAAGAATCATGTTTTTTCTAGTCGGGCCAGACACATTACCATAATGCATCACTTCATTCGAAGTGTGATTGAAGAAGATGTGCAGTTAGATTTCTACAGTTCACAAGAACAACTTGCAGACATCTTTTCTAAAGCACTACCAAGAGAAAAATTTCAAGAACTTAGAGAAGTAATGGGAGTTAAAGAGCAACACATTAAGAGAGAGTGTTAAAATTGATGTGTTGTAACCACCACTATCTTAAGTAAGTATTATGAGAGAATTATATCATTAAAATTAAGAGAAACAAAGAGTCTTCATCTTGATTATCAACTTATTATTTTCTCTGTGAGTTTTCTTCATGCCTGTATAAAGACTTTGTAATCTTAAGTTGAAAAAAGTGTGTGGTGAATTTAATAGAAATCACGGTATTTCAAAGTTCAACCTCCATCAATGAAAGTTTAGTGCAAAACGTGACTCAAAAATATTTTTACTTTAAATTCTACAACAATATAATTTATCACATATCACCTCTAGAATACCGTCAACATAATGGATTAAGAAAAATTAAATTAAAATAGAAAACACAGATGAAATTTAACTAATTTGCAAGAAAGAAAAGAAGTACTAGTATAAATTAATATGACAGAATCTATATCCCAATCATGCTCATAGTGCAACGAGAGGCATGATATTATAGAATTTTATGCCTCATCATAATCCATCTAATACAACCTGAATTAGATTACAACATTACATTATAGTTTAGATTCGTCAAGATTAAAAAGAAGGTAAGAATTCAAATCCTTGATTTAGAAAAGCTCCAATCACCCATAGCTTTAAATTGGGCAGGTTAATTATTGGCTCTGAATTTTTCACCTGATTTCAATATATTACACAAATTAACATACCAGAACACAAATAAAAAAACATAATAAAATTAGCATGTAGATCCAATGACTAAAAACAAAATTTAAATAAATTGTTACTAAAATCATATTTAACTTTATAATCAAATAGAACATAAGATATGATAATTAACTAGGGAAAAAAAAGGATATATATAGCTTACATTGAATGAAAATGTAAGTAGAAAATTGTCAGAAACTGTGGCCAAATTTGAATTCTGAACATTGCAATCTCTCAAAGATTCAACTGATTTGTACAATGAAGCAGCCACTCTTTCTCCTTTATTGCATACTATTTTAACATAAAACCCTCTTTCATCCACTTGAAACATATCCATCTATACAAAACCATATTCGAAAACATTGTTACAGATTACAATATCTAGCAATTTATTATATATATATATATATAGAGAGAGAGAGATTTTGATGAACCATATATACCTGGAAAATTTTCTTGAATATTGAACTAGTGTTATCATTGAATTGAATATTTTTGTGGTTTTCAATTGATCCTTGGTGAGATTTGGATACTGCTAAGGATGTTTCAAGTCCAGCAACCTCAGCCTTGAGCTTCTTGGCTTGTGATTGAAGTTCTTGCATATATGAAACAGCATCTCCAATTATAGAAGCCTTATCCATCTATATACATATAAAATAAATATAATTTCAGTTATTATATACTTAATTAACTATCAAATGTAAATCAACTTATGATAAAATAAGTGGAAAGCGATCTTTATCTTATAAACAAGTTTCTTCGATTAGGGTTAGGCTCAACACAAATTCTAAGACGGTACACTTACCTTAGTTATATTGGGAACTAAAGATCGCAATGCGTAGAGCTTATCCTTCATTCGACCTCTCCTCCTCCTCTCAGATTCCAAAGTCTTGGACCTATCCGTTTTCAACCTTGGCTTAGTATCACCACTTGTAGTTGGTGTTGGAGAAGAATAATTATCATCATCATCGTTATCGTTATCGTTATCGTTATCGTTATCGTTATCGTTATCATTATCATTCATTTCTCTTATTTCCCTCTTAGCTTCTCCATCAAAACAAGATAAAGAGGCAAGTGAAGAAGTAGGATCAAAGGGGGTGACAAAATTATTATTAGAGTGATCAAATGAGTTTGTAGGAAATGAAATGAATGAGTTATCAACAAAGCTTTGATTCATTATTAGGTCAGAATTGAAGTTACACATAGTAGTATCTTCATTTTCTTCCCCACGAATCAAGTTGATGAATTGATCAAAGTTTGGATCTTCAATGAAATCGTGTAACTCAAAGTCATTGTTAATGTGAGCAAGTGTCTCTGGATAAAAATCCATTGTGCGTCTATTTTGGTTGAAAGTTGTAACATATGGTGATGAGTGAGTGTTCTAAATATTGGAACTTATATAGAACTTTGGCATAATGGATAATTAATGGTTATTTATTATTAATTAATAATTAACATGATTGTAATTTTTTAGTGTGAATGGAATAAGAGAGTACTACCTACACCAAATGAGTTCGAGATGAACTTGGTAATTCAAATATAAATATATTTTATGCATGCTTATTTTATTTCTCTGAGCCAAATAATTTTGAAAGAATCTTTTGTCTTTCCAGAAATGTCCATGACATGTATAAAAAATTGGGAAACACACAGTTTTATTGTTTTTGTGTTCTGTAAAAGCACACATAGTCTTACTAGAAACAAATAAATAAACCTTGCAACAGATTAAATACTTAAATAATGAGTAATTGTCTACTGTATTATTATTATTATTATTATTTTATAATATAACTGCTAAAAAATATATAATGGGATTCTGTTTATGTATGTAGTCACAGATTTAATTTTCAGATCATGTGGTAAGCATTGACGTATATTGTTGTTATTCTATTGATGTTGCATAGTGTAATATTTAATTCAAATACGTGTCATGCATACACGGCCTTGATGGTAACTTTGATTAGGAATGTAAACTTGCATATAGAATGAGAATAGAGAAAGTGTTTTATTTATTTAAAATTTATTTTTTTTTAAATTAGTATGATGGGTGGTTCTGATTATGAAGGAGAGGGAATATTATATTTTTATCTTTTAATTAATATAGAAAATGTGATTAATTGTTTGTAAAAGTAAGTATTATGTTTGTGTGTATCTAAGTTTTTTTGTCTTAATGAGATCCCCATTTAAGTTAACCCATGCCTTCTTTTACCAACTTTGCTTCTGTCTCTAAATTCAGTTGGAGGTAAATAAATTTAATAAGAGTCTTCCCGAAGACGATTCAGTGACAAATATGCAAATATATTATGCCAAGTTGTAGTTCAAATTTAAGTTATTATTTGTATTTAGTTTTTATTTAGGTTGCATTTTGGAGTTTGCACTTGTATAAAAGATGAAACATCCTTTAGTTAGTTATAAAGTTAAAATTAGTTAGTTGAGAAAAAGTTTGTTAGGATTCAATTTCTCTCTCTTTTTTTTCTCTCTTCTTTCATTTCCATCTTCTTTAATTCTTGTCCATCAATAGAGGTGAAAACTCCAACAAATTATAATCAGGATCCTCTCCTGCCACATCTCACATGCTGCCCGTTATGCGTTTATCACAGTCGTTCATCATCATTTCATCTCACTTATCAATGATGTTTTTTTAAACCTATTTTTGATGAAGTTTCAGCCATTGGATGAAGCACGAGAGGGAAGACATAACAGAAAGGACGACAGTGGATCTATTTTGAACAAATTAGTATCAAGAGTTTCGGTTATGATCATAGGAAAACACAAGCGTACCGTGAGGTGGGTGATTGATTTTGTTCGTCAAATTCACATTGAATTGAAGTTCTAAATTGGAGAAGAATCACATTTCTTGATTCTTAGGGTTCAGGAAACACGAGAGTTTATGAGATTTGAGTGATTTACACAAGAACGAAGATGAACAGCAGAAACGGTAGTTTGAACACAAAGCTTCCAGTATTCGACGAAAAGAATTGGAATTTGTGGTTGATTCAGATGCGTGTGTTGTTTGGATCTCAAGATGTTCTTGATCTCGTCAATGACGGCTACACGCCGATTGCAGAAGATGCAATAGAAGCGCAAAGAAACGTGCAATGTGATACGAGGAAGAAGGATCAAAATACATTGTTCTATATCCATCAGTGTGTGGATACAAAAGTGTTTGCAAATATTGTCTACGTGATGACGATGAAAATAGCATGGGATACACTTATGTGGTGCTATGGTGGTGATGCATCAGTGAAGAAAGTGAATTTGCAGTCTCTACGCAAGCAATACGAGAATATTAGCATGAAGAACAATGAAAAGGTACCATACTACATCTCTAGAGTGACTCTAATTATGAATGAGATGAAGACTTGTAGAGAAACTCTCTCTAAAGAAGTAATCATTGAAAGGTACTTAGATCTCTTACTCCTCAATTTGATTACATAGTTATGGCCATAGAATATTTTAAAGACACTAGCACTATGAGAGTTGAAGAACTTCATAGTATTCTAGAGGCAGAAGAGTTGCTTCTGACTAAAAGAAACTCTGAAAGGGAGTCAAAACAAGCTCTGGAGGCTTCTTTTGTTAAGAAGAACAAGAAGAAAGAATGACTAGAAAACAAGAAAAATAATGTTAAAAAGTCATAACCTTCTTCTTCAGTAGAGAAGAAGCATAATAATGTTCATAAGGGAAAGGAAAAAGATGATAAGAGAAAGGTTCAATGTTACAACTGTAACAGATATGGCCGTTTTGCCTCTAATTGTTGGTCAAACAAATAAAACAAGCGTGAAGAAGCTAATATAGCCATAGGAGATTCACATGATGAACATGCGCTATTGATGGCATCTGAAATTCCTGGTATGTCACAGACTCAGGATGTCTAATGGAATGTTAAGACATCTGATCTGACATTAAGCGCTGTACAGGTAGAATAGGCTGTACTTTTGATATCTGTTCTACAACAGTCACTGAACTATCATACCAGAACCTGCAACACCTTTTGGACAAACGCAGGTTCTGATTTACTGAAGTTCAGAGCAGTTAAGGTTAATCATATACATTGAAGTCATGAGGAATGCTGTGACATCAAACAAATAACCAATGCAGAAAGTAAATAACACACAGAATTGTTCACCCAGTTCGGTTCAACCAACCTACATCTGGAGGTTTCCAAGCCAGGGATAAAGTTCACTATTAGTAGTATCAATTCAAAGACCCTACAGCCAACACACCCGTTGACAGCCTTCTCACTTAATCACTACCCAATGACACTTTTACCTAAGATCCAATCCTAGATATGAGACCCCTCTCACTCCCCCTCAATCACCGCAGTGATAACTTTCTACAGTACATAAACTGTTCTGAAGATACACTTCCATTACACATCTTGATCATGCTTAAAAGCTTCAATCAAGTACAATGCATACATCCTCTAACCTACAGGTTTCAAGGAGTATGGTGACCATCCCACAACCCGGGTGGTTCACAACAAAACTAGCCCTAAATGATTACATCTTGTCAATACTCGACCTACTCAAATTAGGTTACAATACTTCTATTTATAGCACTTTTTACCCAACTGGATTTGGGCCTTCATATGACAGCAATGCAACTTTAACGACCTGCATAAAGTAAGCAGAAAACTTCTGCTATAAGTTAGGTCTTCAATCGAGCTTTTCTCCTTATCCTTAGCTTCTGATTGAATCTTCTAGGGCTCCACACATGCCTTCAATTTTCGCTACTTGTTATGCATTCTATTTGGCAGAATATTCTGCATAACTTCAGGAACAGAACTGCATCAGACTTGACAGTTCAGTAGCTTGATGTCTGGTATGATGTTATGACATCTCTTGAGACATGTTGTTCCAGATGTTGATTTAAATCAACACAACATGTTTAGGCATTTACAATAGGATTTTCAGGCTGTTCTTATTGTACATTACATTACATTATTGTTGTTACTATTTGTTTTACAAGAAATGAGCCAATCCTAAACGAAGGCACTTACAATCTCCCCCTTTGGCAAATTTTGGCTAAAACAAATACAACAAAAAAAAAAAAATAAAGGTGTTCAGGATTACACACAGAAGGATGTCTTGACATCTTTGGTTGTATCCACACTAACCATCCAGGACCTCTTGAAGCACAGGAGGAAGAGGATGCACCTCATTCCCTTTTAGACCACGAACCATTTCTTGTCACTGGTGGTGGAAAAAGAGGACCGTGGGAGATAAACTATCCTTTCAGAGGCATCAGAGAACCTTTAAGGAGTGACCAAAATATCTCCCTTGTAACTCAGAACACAGGTCACAACTGTGTTCATAACTCAGATCACAAGTCACAAAGAAATTCACGCCATTTGAATTTCTGCTGAATTTGTGACAAGTCTTTGTGATCAAAATTTTGAGTAGCTGCTGCAACGAGGACAATGTCAAACCGTAACAGTACTCCTTTACTCCTTTCTCCCCCTTTTTGGCCAAAAATTGACAAAGAAAGCCCTCACAAAACCAGATCCAAGAACAGTTTTCCCAGATCCGTACAAACCCCATGATGGTTGTGAGAGAAAAGAATGTGTGACAGGAGGTTATATAAGGAGATAACAGGTTCAAGAAGATGGCAATATAAAATCTTGGTCAAGGATACCTGTTAAAGTTGTTGCATGTTTCAGACTGACTGTGCATGAAATTTAGACGCATTTGTTTGTTTCTGCCAAAAGAACCAGTCCTAATACATGCATAAGTTTAGGTCAAAGCAATTCCTGAATAAAATCAGCCTTTGACCGCCTTTTAAGGTTGAAGATTCTTTTGGGAAACAGAATACCAAATATAGCTCCTGAATAGCTACAATTACGTGGTGAAGTTATTTTCCACGTATTCTTCTTGATTTCCCCAAGGATGCAATGTCGTTGGTAATGTCATGACACTTACTTAGACATTCTTCAACAACAGCAACCTTCTTTTTACTTCTCTCAGTTAGGCACAGAGAAGGACACTTTAAACAGCCAGTAGCAAGAGACTAGTAGCATTAAGCATGGCCATCAATCATGCTTTCTTAAGTGTTGCTGAGATCCACCATAATTACTTTCTACCTTCTTCCAGACAGCAAAATAAGGAAGGAGGGAATAAACCAGAAGACTCCAAAATGCTTCACAAGACATCACAGATTAGTTCTAATACACACAATTTAGATGCCACTTCAATTTCTTGTAGTAAAAGAACCCCTTGAACATATGCTGAATATATCAGATTTCTGATTTACCAGACCAAGTTGTTATTGATAAGATCTGAATCTTCCAAATTGCTCCAAAAGTATCAAAACTGCCACTTATGAGATTTTTAA